ATGTGATACGGAATTTCAAAAAACGTATACAAAACTTATTTATAATAATGAAAAAACGTATGCAAATTTTTTATAGGTTTTATTTAGTTTGTTTATTTTTTTGGTGTTGGATAAGAACGAGGTATGTCATGCTTTTATTGTTTGTTTGTTAAATTTTTTTGGTTGTCTTTTTTTTTGTTTTTTTCGCGGATATGTCTATCTCTTTTATTTGCTTTTTTATTTTTTTTGGATATTATGGGGCAGCATGATGTTACACGTAGGTGGGGGCGTGACTTGCTTATCTTTGGTAAGCCTATGGGTACTCAGTTTTCTGGCAGTCTCATGGTAGGGCTGGTTGAGAATTATCAGAACTGCATAGTACTATGCGTGGGAAGGAGCATAGGCGCTTACATTTCGTAAGCCTATGAGTACCAGCTTTCTGCTGCAGTCTCGTAGTAGAGCTGAAGTATTTTGTTTAAGAAAATCTTTTCAAACAAATATGCAAGAATATTTGTTTAACTGAAGAAACTTACGAGCTCCCTAAGTAGTACTTTATTTATTTACCAATAGTGAGGAAAAATAAAAATATCATTACATTTTAAATAAAAAACTTTTAAACGCAAGGTCAAACAGAAGCAAAAAATCGTATATATATATATTTTTTAATGATTTGCGAGGCTGGAGTGCGAGACGAAGCGCATTTTGACAAGTATAAATCGTAAAATAAATCATAAATAGAAAATCAAATCTTTATAAATGAGTTGATGGTTCTACTTTTAAGTCTATAGTTATACATCAACCCTTTTATTTAATCTGTAGATTTCCCCTTGACTATTAATATTATATTGATTACCGAAAATTTTTGGATCGATATAAGGCAAGCCAACATGCTATTTTTTTTTTTGATAAACCAAAGTTTGATGTACAGTATATTGTCCAAGTTCTTCAATTACACATTAAGGAAAGGAAATTAATCTCGATTTATAGTAATTTACAAAAAATAATATCATATTCGTGTAAGCGCTTGCCAATTGGAATGTTAAGCCATATTTTAACATACCCCGTCGGCATATTCAGGATTAAATTTTATAAAAAAAAAAGAAAGCAATTAAATTTATAATAAATAATTAAATAATATATTAAATGTATTATCAAATATAATTACAAATTTTTGTAAATTATTTCTTATGATTTATATTAATAGCTATATATATCCTTTATTTTTATTACTATATATATTTTCTTTAATTATTTAATATTATACTTAAAAAAGAAGTTTTAGTTGATCAAATTGATGTAAAAAATTATATAAGTTAAACTTGAAGATAGTGAATTTTTTATATTATTATTGTAAAAACAATTAGAGGAATTTTTGAATAATAAACAAATTATTGAATTGAATTTTTAACTAAAAATCCTAATGAAAATTATATTTGATAGCGAATTTAAATTAGAAATTAGATAATTCTAAATTAATTAGTCCGGAACGTAAGCGAAGGACTTATATGTATCTGTTTGTCCGCCCGTTCAAAATTTGAGTCGATACGTGGTTGGTCCCAATTTCCGAAACCGTTCCCTAGTTAAACTTCTATTAATAATTTTATGTCACGCAAATAAATTGCGTAACCATCATGACTATACACACAAATTAGGAAAGAATGACATCAAATTATCTAACAAACGTAAAGTTTGAAAGCATTCTTCCTTCTTTCCATTTTTGTAAACAATATATAGTGACCTTTGCATTAAACGGCTGGAAAAAAAATAAAAAAGAAAATCATTTTTTTGCATATAAAGTAAAATTTATTTTTTTCCGGTAGTTTCCCCCCTTTCTTTCCATACCTGTGATGTATTATCGTTAGGTAAATCATAAATATAATGAAAGTGATAAAAGAGACAAATTATTAGATAATTCAAGTGTGTGAAAAAAGTACAAAAATAGAAATACCGATCGATCGTAAATTTTATGACATAAGTTAAGGTGATCAACACATGACCCCGTATAAATAAATATAAATAGAGGAAGCTAATGGAAAAATAACATCATTTGAGTGGAGATGACTAATCGATTTAGTACAAAATTGCCAACATTATTACGAATAAATCGATATTCTTCATACGAAAATTTTCAACATATTCAGAGATTAAAATTAGGAGCTTTACAACCCGTTCGTTTCACTTCAACTTCTTCTAAATTATCTTATTACTTTCATGAAAAAACAGGATTTTCCAAAACATCAAGACTAATGGAGTCAGCTTCGACAATCGATGATATCTTCTCTGAAGATAATAGAATTGCAGTTCAGAACAAACCAATTAAAGAATTGATTCATACTCTAATTGTTTACAGATTATGCTCTTTTCAATGGTTAGTGAATCGTTCTCCAGGATTAATATCATTTGCCGAAAAAGCAGGTCTTTCAGCACCTATTTACTGGTTAATAAAACGTACCTTTTTCGCTCAATTTTGTGGGTATGTACGTTTTGTCTTTTGCAACAATGCTGCTATCATTTATGGGTATTAGTTTATTCTAATCGTATATATTCATTGAATTTATAGCGGAGAAACTGCTGAACAATGTATAGACTCTATGTCTCAATTAAAAACGCATGGGATTGGATTGATACTTGATTTATCAATTGAAGCGGATATAAATGAAAATGGATCTTTATCTCTTAATGAAAGTCGTAATATCGAAGCAGATCACGTGTCCAGATCGATGGCTAAATGTATAACGACCGCTGCATCACAACCAAATAGTTTTGTGGCGTTAAAGTTAACTGGTTTATCTAATCCAACAATATTGCGATACTGGACTTTGACTTTAAATTCTTTGTCCAAATCATTTGATAAATTTGATATAAATAAAGATGGCAAATTAGAACGGTCAGATTTCCTTAAATTCGTTTACGAATTATTCGGCAATGATAAGGAAAATGTTGTCAAAACATTGTTTGACCATGCCGATGAAAACAAAGAAGGTTTGATCGATAAGGTTGAATTTATTAATATGCTTTCTTTAGATAATAAATATTCTCGATCTTTATTGATTTGTAATGAAGACTTTCATTTGAAGCAAGAGGATTTTGAGGATTACGATAAGATGATGGATCGTCTTAAGGAACTTTGTGAACTTGCTCGAATAAAGAATGTTCGCTTAATGATTGATGCAGAACAAACATATTTTCAACCGGCCATAGATGATGTAGCCATGAAATTATCCGCAAAGTATAACAAATCTGATAACAAAAATGGTCCAATTATTTTCAACACGTATCAAATGTATTTAAAGGATTCAACCGAAAGGTTGATGCGAAATTATAATTTGTCAAATCGGAAACAATTTGTATTTGCGGCAAAAATAGTGCGTGGAGCTTATCTGTATAGCGAACGCAAGAGAGCTAAAGAAATGGGATATCCTGATCCAATTCATGACACAATCGAAAACACTCATGCAGCTTATGAGTTTGCTGTGGAATTTCTATTAAATAAACTATCTGAAGCTCAGAAAACATTTGATAAGCAATTAGATATTTCAAATAGTCCTGTAGTGTTTATGGTTGCTTCTCATAATAAAAGATCCATAATAAGGGCATTACGACAGATGATGGATCTTGACATTTCAACCAAATCTGGTCTAGTTTTGTTCGGGCAATTGTTAGGTATTGTTAAAAACTATCTATTAATACATCAAAATTTGATAATTTACTGATAATTATTTTTTGTAAAGGTATGTGTGATACAATTACTTATACATTAGGAAAATATGAATGTGGAGTTTACAAATATGTACCCTATGGCAAGGTATAATAAATTATCGTTTTATCTAAATTTTTTTTATTTAAGTCTTATGAATTTATAAAGTATTCCTTTTTTGTAGATTAATGAAGTTATACCTTACTTAATAAGAAGAGCTCAAGAAAATTCTTTTATACTTGAAGGTATAAAAGAAGAAAGTCAATGTTTATGGAAAGAGATTATAAATCGTATTTTTCACATTCAACCTTTAATATCAAATTCTTAAAATAATAGATTCTATTTCTATATATAATAACATATTATAAATTAAATAGCTTATTAATTAATATTTTTTTGTTTACTTTACCTTTTTTTTATTATATTATAAATTTATTAAAATACTAAATATATTAAATATTTTTAAAAATATCAATAAATAAAAATATAAAAATATATTAAATTTTAAAATTTTAAAATAAGCTTAAAATTAAAGTATATAAAAAAAAAAATAATTATTATTATAATTTAGAAATTATATTTTATTTTTATTATTTTAATTTATAATTTAATTTATATTTTATTAAATAATTTAATATATTATTAATTATTAAAATTATATTTACAGATTTTTTTTTATTATATTTATTTTTTTTATATATATATATATAATTGATCATTTCTTGTATAGTCATTCCTTTTTATAAGCATATTTTATTAAGCTAAATTAATAATAAACTTATAATAAATCTTCTTCTACATATTAAATTTATAGTTCTAAAGAAATAGTTACATAGGAGATCAATTGTATTATAAATAAATTTAAAATATAATTATATAAATATTATTTATAAATAATAATTAAATATAATATTTAAGTTAAAATAATAATGTAAAGATAAAATTAATCAGAGAATATTTTGAAATAGTTATTAAGTTTGAAACAGAAAATCTATAGAATAAAAGACTTTGTAGTAAGTCTAAAGATTTATTATATTATCACAAGTTCATTTACTTAATGATATTTATTTCAAACTATTCATATTTAATAGACTTAAATGTATTAAACTAATAAATAACTATCATATTTTTTAACAAAAAAATTTATTTTGTTTTATTAATTAAAAAAAATCAGAATAAATATATAATACTTAGCAATTAATGATATATAAAGCATTTTTTATTTTTTTTAATTGTTTTATTAATAATAAAATGGATAAAATTATTTAAATATATAATAATTAATAGCTAATCATATATAGATAAATTATTATGTAAATATAAATAAATAAAAGAATTAACATTTTATAAAATCTTTTATTTTATATATTATATAGTCTTTTATTTTATTTTGTAAAAAAAGATTTTAAATTTAATAACCTAATTAATTTATTTAAAAATATAAATGATTTATTAATAAATAATAAATTTTTTAATTAAAATTATAATAAAAAATTATTATAAAATATTTTTTTTAATTTTTTTTTATTTATATTTTACATTTCAATTATTTCTTAAAAATTAATCAAATTAAAGATTTTTAATTTTATTAATAAAGTATTTTTATTTTTTTTTTAAAAATAAAAAAAAAGGAATTACTAAAAAATTATATATTAAATATAATATAATTTAATATATATATATATATATTGTCAACAAAGCAATTGACCAGTTATAATGAAATCACATGGATGACGTAGTATGACGATCTCTTAATCTAGAATTCTGAAAATACAGAGAATCTACATAATTCTAAAGATCTTTCAAATACTGACAATAATCCTAATTTTACGAATTAAATGAATTCTAAGAATATTTAGTGTTATACTTATTATTAATATTCTAAATTTTATTGTTATTTTTATTATACCGTATTCTTCCAAAAATAAGCAACCCCCGAAAATAAGCAACCCCTAACATTACTAAGTATCCGAAATTAAGCAACTTCTAATAAATTTA